AGTGGTGGTAGTAGTAGTAAAAGTAGTAGTACTAGTAGTAATCGTGGCAGTAGTAATAGTAGTAGTAGTAGTCGTAGTAGTAGTAGTAGTCGTAGTAGTAGTAGTAGTAGTAGTAACGGTACTAGTCGTAGTAGTAGTCGTAGTAGCAGTAGTCGTAGTAGTAGTAGTAGTAGTAGTCGTAGTAGTAGTAGTAGTAGTAGTAGTAGTGGTAGTAGTAGTCGTAGTAGTAGTAGTAGCAATACTAGTCGTAGTTCTAGTAGTAGCAGTACTAGTCGTAGTAGTAGTAGTAGTAGTAGTAGTAGTAGTAGTAGTATCAGTATCAGTTGTCGTAGTTGTACTAGTAGTAGCAGTAGCAGTACCCGTAGCAGTAGTAGTAGTAGTAGTAGTAGTAGTCGTCGTAGAAGTAGGAGTAGTAATAGTAGTCGTCGTCGAAGAACTAGTAGTAGTCGTAGTAGTAGTAGTAGTAGTAGTAGTAGTAGTAGTAGTAGTCGTAGTAGTAGTAGTAGTAGTCGTAGTAGTAGTAGTAGTAGTAGTAGTAGTAGTAGTAGTAGTCGTAGTAGTAGTAGTAGTAGTAGTAGTAGTAGTAGTAGTAGTAGTAGTAGTAGTAGTAGTAGTAGTAGTAGTAGTAGTAGTAGTAGTAGTAGTAGTAGTAGTAGTAGTAGTAGTAGTAGTAGTAGTAGTAGTAGTAGTAGTAGTAGTAGTAGTAGTAGTCGTAGTAGTAGTAGTAGTAGTAGTAGTAGTAGTAGTAGTCGTAGTAGTAGTAGTAGTAGTAGTAGTAGTAGTAGTAGTAGTAGTAGTAGTAGTAGTAGTAGTAGTGGTACCAGTATCAGTTGTCGTAGTTGTACTAGTAGTAGCAGTAGCAGTACCAGTAGCAGTAGTAGTAGTAGTAGTCGCAGTAGTAGTCGTCGTAGTAGTAGTGGTAGTAGTCGTAGTAGTAGTAGTAGTAGTTGTTGTTGTTGTTGTTGTTGTTGTTTTGGTAATAAGATTAGTACCGATGGTACACACAGGAAATAACATAGGTATGTGGGGTTCCTCGGTAGCGTAATTATGTCTCCACCCCTTACCCCCCCTGGAGCCGCGCCACGTGACCGTACCAAACTGGCCCCCCTCTCCGTGGGGCGGAAAAGCATACCAAAACGCATGGGACATCTATGATCTCGGCCTCCTGGGCCTCCTGGGGCTCCACGAGGGCCTCAAGACGGCCCCAAAACGGCCCAAGGCGGCCCCAGGATGGCCAAAGATGGCCCCGGGGGGGCCCATGCGGCCCACAAGACGGCCGACCCCCAAGAACTCCTCCAGAACAAAATCGATGGTTTCCTATGGTTTTTGGCAGACTTTAGCGTTATCGTTTTCTTCGGCTCTCCGGGGGCCGCGACGGCCCAAGCAGTCTCCAAGAGGCCCCAAGGCGGGGCCACGAGGCCCCCAAAGACGGCCCAAGAGGGGTCCGAGACGGCCAGAAGAGCCCTTGGGGTCTTTAAGATGCTTCCAAGAGGCCTTTAAGAGGCCCCCAGGAGGCTCCCAAGAGGCTCCTCCAAGAAGCCTCCCCCCAAGAGGCCTCGAGAAACCATGCAGACGCCTGCGCACTCGTATACGATAGCACGTTCTTGGGGCGGGCCGAACGGCACGGCTCCACAACGACATCCTTACTGCACGTGCTGTGCTCCGAACAAGGAAAGCGAGAGAGCCATCGACTGGACTGCGCGCCTTCTCTTCCCATTCCGCTGCTTCGTGGGTGCGGTCGCCAAGGGCTCGGGCGATAGGGCGGGCACAGCAGGCGGCGAACTCGCCGATGTAAGGCGATGGCTGGGGACAGGCGAAGAGGGCGTCGGAGGCGATGCGGAGCAGATGGTTCGTCGGGGGACCAAGAGGAGCCTCCAGAGGCCAAAATCATTGATTTTCAAATGGTTTTGACGGATTTTAGCGTTCTCGCCTTTTTCGGCTCTGAGTGGCCATGACGGCCCGAGCAGCCCCAAAAAAGATCCTGAGACGGCCCAAGAGGCCCCAAAGTGGGCCCCAAGAGGCCAAAGAGGGCCCCGAGCCGGCCAAACGAGGCCCCCAAGACGGTCCAAGAGAGATCCCAAGACGGCCCAAGAGGATTTCACGAGAGCCCCAAAGCGGCCGCGAGAGGCCTCCAAGACGGCCTCCGAAGGAGCCGGCATCTCTTGCGTCACATGCGACACGTCCAGAGGTGCCGTGCTGAGCGGCAGCGTTTTCCGGCGAACGCCTTAATGCAACGTATACAATGTGCACATGTGCTACATCTTTGTTTGTTTTTGTAATATTATGTCCCCCCCTGACCTCCTGGAGTCGCGCCACAGCGCCGCGCCAAACTGGTCGCCCCCTTCAGGGGCCGTAACAACATACAAAAACCTATGAGAAATCAAACCAATCGGCCTCTTGGGCCTCTTGGGGCTCCAAGAGGGCCGCAAGATGGCCAAAGATGGCCCCAAGGCGGCCCAAGACGGCCTCAGGACGGCCCAAGATGGCCTCAAGAGGCCCATGAGGCCCCTAAGATGGCCCAAATGGGCCCCAAGAGGACCCCCAAGAGCGCCTCCAGAGGCCCAAATCATTGATTTTCCAATGGTTTTGACTGATTTTAGCGTTCTCGCCTTTTTCGGCTCTCAGAGGGCCATGACGGCCCGAGCAGCCTCCAAGAAGGCCCTAAGACGGCCCACGAGGCCTCCAAGGGGACCCTAAGCGGCCCAAGAGGGCCCCGAACCGGCCAAAAAAGGCCCGAAAACGGTCCAAGAGAGACCCCAAGACGGCCCAAGAAGACTTCAAGAGAGCCCCAAAGCGGCCGTGAGAGGCCTCCAAGACGGCCTCCGAAGGAGCCAGACGGCGTAAGAGCGCCCCAAGACGGCCCAAAACGTCCCCAAGAGGCCCAACGAGGCCCCAAAGAGGCCCCCAAGAGGCCCCTGCGAGGCTTCCAAGAGGCTTCCTAGCGGCCCCCAGGAGGCCTCACAACGACTGGACTGTACGTGCTCCTGACGTGCACCCCGCGAAGCGAGAGGAATCAACATAGGAGGAAACCCATTCCAAAACGATGTCGTCCACGCTGCCCAGAGGCCCAGCCGAAAGCGACACGACACATCGAAAACAGCACTGCATCAAACTGAACACCGAAGGCGGTTAATTAGGGGGGGGAAGGGCGGCGGGCCGAGGCAAGCCGGCGAGGGGAAGGAGAGGGGGAAGGAGGCGAGGGGAGGACGGGGCCAAGCCGAGAGGTCAGAACGGGAGCCGAGGTGAAGCTTTCCGAGGAGGGGCTCATAACATCCAGGGTCCTGCCAGCGCCGCTATCTGGGAGCACCCGCACTGCACCCAGCCTGGTGTACGAACGCCGCGGCGGCTCAACAGAGCCCAGTTGTCAACGGCATGTTTGACACTGGCACTACAGTGCGGGCGCGGCCGCAAGAAACCCTCGCAAGAAACCCAACCCTGAGAACCCGTACGATAGGTGCACCTGGGGGGGAACGTGGAGCACCCTGAACGCAGCAGTTCCTTCAACGGCTGCACGAAGCCACCGCGCAGCGCGAGGAGCGAAGAAGCCCAGGATACCCTGACGCAACGCACATGGTTTCTTGGTGCGCGCCCCCACTGTACGAACGCCGCGGCGGCTCAACAAAGCCCAGTTGTCAACGATACATTTGACACTGGCACTAATGGTAAACAAACCCTACCTTTAAGTAGGGCCTGTCCCCCTACAGGGGGATTCCCGACGAAACATAACAATTACACCAACACAAATAAAAATAATCCAACAATAGTATGGGGACTATTTGTTGGGGTACTTTTTGACTTTTTTGGTGCATCTTTGGGGTATTTTCTATTTTTCGTTGAAAATCCCCCTGTAGGGGGACAGACCCGACTTAACACTAATGGTAAACAAACCTTACCTAAACAGCCATCATCTCGGCCCTGGGCACCGTCTGTCGGCGACGCGCGAAGGCGGAGGCCCACCACCTCACGCGGGGCCAAACCGTGGCATCCCAGCCGGCGGGGACCGCAACGGCAGCAACGCGGCTGCGACGGGGGCCTGAAATTACAGCAATCTGAAGGGGCCCTGGGACACACAAATAAATACACACAGATAACAGGATCCCCCATATTTTCATATATTTTCTGGGTTTTTGTCTTCCCCCCCACTTCCCGTATTTTCCAATATTTTCGGTGGAATCGACGAGTCATTGTGTCTGTGTGTTTTTTCCCTCCTGACAATCGCCCCTCGCTCCCCCCGAACCGTCGCCGAAAAATATACAGTCATCGGCCTGACCTACGGAACGATACATAAGGAACGAAGCCCCAATTTTACCCCAAGGAATAACGCATAAGGAACGATCAATAACAAAAACCGCACAAGGAACTGGAGATAACGCATGCAAGCCAAAGGAACGACCGAGCCCCTGTTGAAAAACAAGTGTTCCTTATTCAAGCCGCTCACTGTACTTCTCAAGCATCCCGCACAGTCACGCGAAGGTCGCGGTTGCAACTGGCGACTCGGGGGAATGAGCCTGGCCACTCGTCACTACTTCTAGCAAAGCCGTGCCCTTGGTACAAGACACTGGGGGAGTCATCACCTCTTTGTGGTCGTCTTCCCCCAGCAAGCCTCCGACGGCAAACCCTGATAGCCCCAAATGCTTCACGTGCACATTCAAATACCAGATGCCACTCTCTGTGCGTCCATGGACGACTTTCAGCTCTGTGTTCCTTATTCAAGCCGCTCACTGTAGGAAACCCACGGAAAAGCTTCTGGCGGCTGTGGCCGGGGCGACCCACCTACCGCGCGACGTCCGCCCTCCCATCGCCAAAGTGCGGGCGCGTCCAAGAGACAGGCCGGATGCTGCGCAGTCCAAAGCCTGGGCTGGCATCGCGGCCCAAGGGGAGGAGGCAGAGGAGGAGGAGGAGGAGGAGGAGGAGGAGGAGGAGGAATAGGAGGAGAAGGAGGAAGAAGACGACGGCCCGAGTTCCTTATTGCTAAGCAGAACGGACATGACCCAGCGCGCCTCCGCTCGGCCCCGTCGCCCCCGGCTTCGCCGGGGCCCTGGGCGGGGCCGGTGGCGGCGCAGGCGCGCCTGGCGCGGCGACGGCGCGCAGGGAAGGGGGGCCCAGGGGCGAAATGTCCCTCCTCCTCCTCCTCCTTTTCCCCGTCCTCCTCCTCCTGCTCCTCCTCCGCCCCTTTCTCCTGGAAATACGGCAGGAGCTTTCTCGCGAGAGAGCGGTCACACTTGAGCTGACTCGCCAATACCAATCCCCTGAGCAAGTGCGCCCTTCTTACCCAATCGTAACGCTATGTGCAAACACCCCCCCTTGGCCACTTTCGGCCAGATGAAGCGGCCGGGGACATGGAAACAACAGTTGACTGGATGAGAGGTCAGAAGGTATAATGGGCACAACTCACATCTATTCATCGTCGCCCTGAAGCAGGTCCAAACGTGGGCAAGTGAACGGCGCACAAAGGCCAGGTATCCGAACCGAGCAGCGCAAGTTGTATAAGTGAGCGCTTCAAACAGAATTGGTGCAAGCAGAAGGCGACTATGATTCGGTCGCAGACGTTGATGGGGCCTCTTAGCACGCTATCTGCCATTTTCGTGTCGCAAACGGCTGACGCATGCACCATGCATAACATATTCTGTGATGTTGGCTAACATCGCATACAGTGGGGGCGCGCATCAAGAAACCATCTGCTTTTCGTCAGGGTATCCTGGGCTTCTTCGCTCCTCGCGCTGCGCGGTGACTTCCCGCACCCTTTGAAGGAGCTGCTGCGTTCAGGGTGCTCCAGGTTTTCCCTCTGGTGTACCCCGCGCGCGGGTTCTCAGGGTTGGTTTTTTTGTGAGGGTTTCTTGCGGCCGAGCCCACACTGTAAATGATAACCTGGTCTCAACATATCCTGAACCCAAATCACCGGCAAAACGGCGCGCGATGATAACCTGGAGATGGAACAAACTAACACTCCGTAGCGGGCGCCAACTCATGCCTCCCTCTAAGAATATATTGATTTGTGTCTCGCATGTGCCTGGACATATCGCCCCTGCTAACATACTTGGTCGGAGCGTCTGCAGGACTATCATATGTTCCGACAGTGATCACATTGACATCCTCGCCGTACCTTCTCCTGTAACCAAAATTGACGAACCTCGATGTGCCTGACCTTTCCTAATTCTCGCTGGCTCGAAATACAACTTGCCGTTCTAGCACCGTTCCTTAACACGATGCTGCTGTCACCATCGACTTTTTTTGAGAATTGCTTGTAATCCTAAGCCTACTGATCCACATTTCACCGTTCCATAATACTCTACTTATCCAGAATAAAATGCCACACTGCTCTGTGTTGAACTCGACGATTGTATCCAATGTGATCCCCGCATAAGTGTTCGTCTACTTATTGATGTACATGCTTCTTACATCCGACATAGCTGGTCTCATCCCACACGGTTCAATCTAGAGGGCTGTCTTGATACAGATGCGGATGCCCACAGGAGTCGTGGCTATTTGAAGTACTTGCCCCAGTAAGCCTTTCCATGCCCCTCGGGTCGGAGCTGACATGGGGCGCGCAAGCTCCTTGACTGGAAACTGCATATCGAAATTGTCCTGCGTTAGATATCGGACTCTGGCCGCCGAAACTTGGTATTCCTTCGCTTCCTGGCAGGGAAGCTCTCCCGCATCTTCATCCTCGTACGTTTGCTCTTCCCCTGGTATCTCGCGTCTCACTTTTCACTGGTCTAGGTTCCCTTCCTTTTTCACATATCTCTGTATGTCTCTGGTCTGCCTCGTGCCATAGACCGCTCCGGTTCCACTCTGCACCTCGGTTAAAAACCCCGATGGGCTTCGAATCTTCTGGTCCTGGTCCGAGTCTGCCTCGGCTTTAAACGTCGATGCTTTTTCCCCTTTCGTATTTTTCTCTCTCATTGTCCACCTTCTCTCCGGAATGACATTTTCTCTATCGAGCCAATCAACGTTAGCATCGTTTCCCAATAAAGTGAAATCATACCCATGCACCATCGGCCCAGTTCGCTACTTTTGTTTGGACTAATTCGGTGATGCTTTTCCGTAGCCATAGCCAAAACCACCGTCGCGTGCGAAGTCCATGTAGCAGTCTTCCCGATAGCAGGCGGCGCTCCGGGTGCCATGCGTTGACTTTAACAATCGTCCACACATGCCTGGTTCGCGATCTTCATCGGATACCCCGATGAAAATCCCACCAGCAATTTGGGCGTAGGTGGTCTAGAATGTTTCCTTTTTTGCCCCTCCTTCTTCCCCTTCGGGGAGGGGTGTATCACTGCTCCCTATTCGTATACACCCCCTCCCCCAGGCGACTGGGAGCTTACCCGATTCAATGAGGGCATCCCCCCACCATCCCTTGTAAAAAACAACACACTCTGCCTCCAAATTCGGAGCATGCGCAGCGAACCCGATGCGGCCTCCCCCCACCACCCGTCAAAAAAACAATATATAGAATACACTTGGCGGCGGCGGCTGCGGCGGGGGCAGCGGCTGCGGCGGCTGCGGCGGTGGCGGCGGCGGTGGCGGCGGCGGCGGCGGGGGCGGCGGCGGCGGCGGCGGCGGCGGCGGCCGGCGGCGGGCGGCAGCGGTGCGGCAGCGGCTGCGGCGGCAGCGGCTGCGGCGGCGGCGATTCGGCAGCGGGGGCGGCGGCGGCGGCGGCGGCGGCGGCGGCGGGCGGCGGCGGCGGCGGGCGGCGGCGGAGGCGGCGGCAGCGGCGGCGGATGCGTCTTCACTAGCTGCCCATCCAAAGACGACTGCTGCATATGCTGCGGCTCGGGTGCTACGTCTGTGTTGGGAGGGCGGGTGGGAGTGAGCGAGACGGCTTGCGGGCGGTGAGGGCGTCTTGACCCATCCTCCTACCCCCTCCCCTGGACCTCGACGGGGGGTTCCCCGACGCGTTGGAGCGTCCAAAACGGCCTCGGCGAGGAAGCCCAACTTGTTGGTTTTACTAGGGTTTTGGCCCCATATCGGCCTCCTGAGGGGGAGGTGCTGATTTCGCCCCCCCCCCCCCCTCCTGTGATCGATCTCCTCCAAGATGGCCGCAAGAGGCGCCCAGGAGGCCCCAAGAGGCCTCGAGATGGCCCCAAGATGGCCCCATGTGGTCCCAAGAAGCCCCCAAGAGGCCCCCAGGATGCCCCCAAGAGGCTTCCAAGAGACCCCCAAGAGGCCCTCCAGAGGCACCCACGATGCTCCAAGAGGCCTCGGCGAGACTGCCAAAATCGGTGACTTTGTTAAAATGTTGGCCACATTTGGGCCTCCTGGGGGGGGGGCACTGCTTCAGATGACTCCAAGGGCGCCTGGGAGAGCCCAAGATGACCTCCAAGATGGCTCAAGATATCCCAAGATGCCTCAAGATGGCTCCCACGATGCTCCACGAGGCCCCAAGATCGCTTCAAGACGGCTCCAAGTGGCCAAAGAGCTCCCCCAGGAGGCCCCGAAGAGGCCAACATCCTTCCAAAACCTTTGGGAAATCAATGTTTTGGGCTTTCTCGCCTTTTCGCTTCCGATGGCCATCCGAGGCTTCACGATGACTCCAAGATGGCCCAAGAGGGCTCCAAGAGCGCTCCCAAGGGTCCCAAGAGCGCTTCAAGAGGGCCCCAAGAGGCGCCCAGGAGGCCCCAGGAGGCCCCAACAGGCGCCCCAGAGGCCTCCAAGAGGCCCCCCAAGAGACCCCCAAGAGGCCCCAAGAAGCTCTCCGAGGCACCCAAGACGCTTTGAGAGGAGTCCGGGAGAGCCAAGAGACCCCCAAGACGCTCCAAGAGGCCTCCACTGGGGGACCCTTCCTCTGTATGCTGCCCACTTCCCCGATCGAGGCACTTCCTCTGGGCATCGTTTCTGCATGGGCTGCTGGGGTTACGCGAAACGACTAGACTTTACTCCATGGCCTTGGCGTAGGAACATGACCCCCGAGAGCACCTTTCCACGCCCCCTGCGGTCATATCTGATCCTCTCGGTAACAACCGTCGAGAATCACAGTTTTCGGGTTCCAATGGATGGAAATCCTTGGTGTGTCGCTCCAAGGACTTGTTTCGGCTTCTTCTGTCAGGGGCCCTGGGGTTGTTAGACTTTCGGAGAACATCAACGTGCGACCTGGCCCGGCCGCCACGCTGGCCGAGACCGCCGGGTCTCCCACACACCGCTGCAGTAGGCGAGCGCACCGTTGGGGACAAACGCTCAAGGTTTCGGTAAGGATCGCTCGAGCAGAACAATTGTTCCCAACCATCCTGTGGTGTTGGGTCCTCGTTTTGAAGAGAGGACGGCCCGCGTCCCACCTCCTCTCCTCCCTCCTCCTTCCCCCCCTCCTCCCATCCTCCACCCTCCTTGCCCCGCAAACCCATTTGGCACACCCCTCACACGTTTCGTGGCCCCAAAGGAGGAGCTCCCACCGAAGCCCCCAAATGGCTTGCCGTCCGCATGCGTCCCGCACACCCATTTCGGCACACCCCTCACACGTTTCGTGGCCCCACAGGGAGCTCCACCGAAGGCCCCAGTGCTGCCTTCCGCATGCGTCCCGCACACCCATTTCGGCACACCCCTCACACGTTTCGTGGCCCCATAGGGAGCTCCACCGAAGGCCCCATTGCTGCCGTCCGCATGCGTACCGCACACCCATTTCGGCACACCCCTCACACGTTTCGTGGCCCCACAGGGAGCTCCACCGAAGGCCCCAGGGCTGCCGTCCGCCACACCCCTCACACGTTTCGTGGCCCCAACAGAGGAGCTCCACCGAAGGCCCAGCGCCGCGTCCGCATGCGTCCCGCCACACTACATTCGACAACCCCTCACACGCTTTCGCCTGGCCCCATAGGAGCTCCACCGAAGGCCCCAGTGCTGACGTCCGCAATGGTCCCGCACACACCAATTTTTCGCGCAACACCCCTCACACGTTTCGTGGCCCCACAGGGAGCTCCACCGAAGGCCCCATGGCTGCCGTCCGCATGCGTCCCGCACACCCATTTCGGCACACCCCTCACACGTTTCGTGGCCCCATAGGGAGCTCCACCGAAGGCCCCAGTGCTGACGTCCGCATGCGTCCCGGCCACCACATGTCGGCACCACCCACTCAACCACGTTTCGT